CACCCTCATCATCATCTCAAAGCTTCCACTGAAGGCGAGGAGGATTCAGATGATCCTGGATCTGGATGGACTGGGAGAATCTTGAGAGGGGGACTGGTAGTTCTGAAAATCGCACGACCACTGCGATCATCCCACAGGCAACGTGTGGACTCCCCTTGGATCTGTAGATGCTGGCCAAAATCAGTAGCCCCATATAGGGCACAGAGATCTGTGGAGTCCACAGATCCAGGATCCTCTGAATCCTCCTCGCCTTCAGTGGAGCACTAGCTTCCACTGAAAGCAGGGGATTCTGTGGATCCTGGATCGGGTGGATTGGGAGAAATGGTGAAGTATGGTTTTCCACCAATGCGCGAGACAATTCCCTTTCTTCAGCCTGCAAGAGGCGTGAGTCGAGGGCCGACACGCAATGCTATCGCAATGGTTCAGAACATGGATTCTGTGTTCAATCTGTTTTTTACGGAGGAGACGACTGACCTCATTGTCAGCATGACCAACCTCCATGGGCACCGCAACAATGAGAAACTGGACTGGGGTGGACTCCACAGATCTCTGTGCCTATATGGGGCTGCTGATTTTGGCCAGCGTCTACAGATCCAGACGGGAGTCCACACGTTGCCTGTGGATGATCGCAGTGGTCGTGCGATTTTCAGAATACCATGTCCCTCTCAAGATTCTCCCAGTCCATCCAGATCCAGGATCATCTGAATCCTCCTCGCCTTCAGTGGAAGCTTGAGATGATGATGAGGGTGCCACATCCAAACCAGGATCTGACTGTCCTGAGTCTGCGGTCAGAGTGAGAAGACAATACCTCCTGCAGCTCGCTGGAGGGGTCAGACTGCATAATCATCTCTAAAACTTCACTACAAGTCAAGCCCTCTCTCATGTTGCTTGCTGCTCTTCTCACCATCAAATGACAAGCGTTTATATCCACTTACTTTGTTTTTGTTTAGTCTGCATTTCTCACCATCAAAAGGCAGCAGATGCATAAATACACTTACTTTGTTTTTTGTTTACTCCATGTAGTTTTGAGAGCTGAAGTGTATATTTTTATTTTCTCAGACGCATCAAGGTGAGTTCTCACACTCTCTCACACACTCACGCACACCCACACACACATATACACACTGTAATATGCTATTATACTCCATATAACTGCATGTAAAAGCCAGAAACTAAGCTTTTTTTTGCACAGCCTGTCTAAAGGGGTTAAATGGTTCCACCTGGTTATCAACAGTAAAAATTACAAATTTTACCTCTTTCCCAACAGGGAAAACCATCAACAATCAAAAAATGCATGATTTTATGGTGTCATGGCTTTGCAATCAAAAAATGTGGTTATAATGGAAGTCAATGGGGCAAAACAGCCACGAACAGTAAATGAGGGAGAAAAAAGTTAAAATCTGATGCTACACAAAAACTAACAATGCATCAAAACCAATGTTGTTTCTAATCTTTGACATGTCCAAGACTGTGATAAAAGGTAAAAAAAAATCCAGTCCACAATCATATTTTATATTGAAAATAAGTCATTTTGTTTTTTTTTTCCCCCCAAATCAGTGACATCATTTATGAATTTGGCAATTAAAGAGTTAAAATCCTGAATTTTTAAAAAAAAAATTAGTAGTTTTTGATCAGGACTGAGGTCGGTTAATAGATTTATGCAAAAAAATTTGAAAAAAAATATTTATCTGATACATTTTTACAGCAGTTTAAAAGTAGTGGCTTTTTTCAGCCACGAACATAACGAAAGGGTAGTGAATTTGAACAATGCACAAGGGTTAAATTCTTGCACCTGGGAACAATACATGTCGACACCATAATCTACTAATTATATACTCGAGCAAGGCAGTATTTGACTCTGATAAGTGTATCCATAGCAGACTTTTGTTAGTGTAATTAACGTACTTGTTTGGCTGATCATTTTTACGGGAATGGCCATAACCAGGGTTTGGAAATTAGTAAGGTCTGGGGTATTTTGTCAATCTTATATGGGTACCTTTAATTGGGTGCACTCTCTCCATTGGTGAATAGACTAAGTAAAGGTGACAACAACCAGTGCATTATTGGTGTTGAAGTTTTCCCTAACTATTTGTCTAAAAGGGAAGTCAACAGCTTTTTTGTTTTTCTCAAGTCAGGTTGCACCAATTTCGACTTTATACTGTATATTCAGCCAAGTAAACAGCAGTACACAGATCTATAGAGTATGTTTCATAATGAAATATGCCAAATATGCAAACACTGGCCATGAAGAAGGCTATGCTATTCCATTCAGTTTAGTAGTTAACCTTTCTCATAGTCATGCTAAGAAAATGTTCTTATTATCATCCATATAGAAATGCTTGTAAACGAAAACTATTACAGGAATAAGAATCGTTGCATGCATAATAATCAAATAATAAAATCCCCCAATGGAGAGTGTACCCAATTAAAAGGTACCCATATAAGGTTGACAAAATACCCCAGACCTTACTAATTTCCAAACCCTGG